GCAAGTTTATAAAATGAACCCACTAGGTGTTTTCGGTCAATTCTTGAATTTCCTTTGATAATGAAATTAGAGGGCATTTAGAAACCAGAAAACTTTCAGATGAGTTTCCCTAGATCACTATATGGACGCGATATCGCGAATTGCTCATATGCATCGCTGCGCAATAATTGTGGTCTCAAGCGCCCTGTAATTCAGGGATTCTAGAACGGCATCATATTTTCATGGAAACTCGGTTACTAATGAGTTACTATGTGAGACTAGCTTCGAAACAGCAAAAGCAAAAACAAAGCAAGAAAACCGTAAGTCCAGAAAGTCGAGACGATTGGACTTCTCCTTTCGATAAGTTCTCTTGTGCGTTACTCCCCCTCACACAACCAGCCATGAAATATGAAACATTGTGCAATTCAAGATCAAAACTAAAAATTTCTCAATACTGCTGGTCTAACTATAATCGACTAAAATTGCTCATTTTCCCAACTAATGTTATAATACAGAGTCCGGACGAAGTGACATTTGAGAAATTCAATTTCCTGAGATAATTTGGGTTGTTAAATTGTACGAGACTGAGTGTGGAAATAGATTGAAAGGACGCATTCGAATCCAATCAGCAAGGTTAAGTATGAGGTCCAGACACATGTGAAATATACCGCTGTTCCGGGTAAACCAGTGTCACTCCAAAGACTACAATTTTATTCATATGTATGCAAAGTACATGCGTTCATATGGGCAGCAGCTGAGTTAGATGTGTTCGGATTCATGAAATCCTTACCAGGCATTCGAAAATGTCAGTGAATATCCCACATTATTTAAGGTTGTTCACAATGCAAACTCACTTTTAGCCGCCATTTAGGCATTTGGCGGTTATCAATAAAAAAGGTGGTGATGTAATCCTGATGTTTTGTGACTTAAACGAACGCCAATCGCATAGAAATGCAATAAACAATGACACCAATCAGCAAATCAGCTTCTAAGCTCTAATCTTAATCTAATCACTTCTCTTTGTAATGAGCGGCAGTCAGTGGTATTTATCTACTTTCATCTTAGCATAGCCTTAGACAAGGTGACGTCTTTTAGTAAAATTGGAAGCTCTCGGCATTCGACGGCCTCTACTCGACTTCATCAGGTCCTGTCTGTCCAACCGATATCAGAAAGTCATGGTCGGTAATAGCTTTTCGACACTTCACTCGATCACGAGTGGCGTAATTCAAGGAAGACTTCTGGGTCCGTTACTCTTTCTACTTCAAATCAATTATATTTCGACTGAACTCAGAAATTCCCAAACTTTTACTTATGCCGATGACCTCAGGTGTGTTTACTCATATTCTAAGAAAACCACAAAACGTCTGTGTTGAAAAAATGAATGCCGATTTACTACGCTTAAGCATACGGAGTGCAACCTGGCTGATGGAGTTATCATCATCCAAGCGAAGGTTCATCTCTTTTGATCTTGTCATAATTCCCGGTCTAATGATTTTTCAGACAATCGCGCCCTCAGAATGCTTCACCAAAAATGACCCAGGTTTAAGTTACACAAATAAACTTGCTTTATTACTTCATGCAGATAGTATCTCCTTTGACCATTATAAGATCGAAAATTTCAGAGGATTTTCACCCGGAAACTGTTCTCTCAAGTCGCACCCGGTCCTTCCTGTACTCAAAGAGGTCAGCTGGCGAACATTAAGTTTTTGTGGGTTAGAAGACTCGAAGCTGGCCTTTGCTTCCTTTTTCGCATTAACTCTAGCTCCAATCTTCCGCTCATTGACTCTGTCACTCCGAGAGATCGGTCTTATGTCACGCGCAGCTCCTCCATGATTATTCCGCCGCCTTTTTCCACGGCATCTAAACGCCCTATCTTTTTTGCTTCCAAGTATGCATTCCTTTGGGATCACGTTACACCAGAAATTATGTCATCGCCTAAGTTACTGGTATTCAAGTATAAATTACGCGAACACATTACACTGGAAAGTATAAAGGCACTTTTAATGATCTCATTCCATAACACTCAGCTTTTTGACGTTGAGGAGGGTCCTCCTGAGATTATGTGGTAGTTGTAACCCTCAATTATATCATTAGGAACCCCTGTTTTCAATTGGTTACAAAGTCCACTGCTATCACTCCTCCCCCATAGCAACGATTTTCGCGGTTCTTGATGTCATCTCCCGCATTTCGACCACAAGCGTCCTGTCAACGCTCACAGCGAAACCCTCTGTATTCGCCGTTTGCTAGTAGTTTTTTCGTACCTCCATTGGCCACTCCTCAGCTGGGCTCAAAGCGGACTGTGGCCGATCGCGTCTGGGTTCCTCTTGTCTTGCCACATTGACGCGAATAGTCCCATACGGCGTACCAACTCTGCCCCTACCATGTCCGTTGTGGATCCCTTGTACAATACCACATGCAGGTCAGCCCTGTCCAACCCGCATACGTACCCCTCAAGGCTGACATTTATTTCCGCCCTGACGACGTTCGACTGTAATCCGTCATACACCGTCACATGCAGGCCAGTCCTGCTCGCATTTTCGTCTTATTATGAGCGACAGTTTTCTTTCTCCTGTGAAGTTAATCCGGTCATTTTTTAAATTCTTGAGTGGAGTTTTTCTCACTGCTCGCTCATCATTTTTCTTAACGCACTACAAATTCAGAAATTATGAATTGCATTTTTTACAGATTCTGCCTACCTCGTCTAAAATTCATATGAAGGTGTAATTTTACTTGCCTTGATGGACGCCGATGGGTCTTTAATAAAAATTATTCATTCATTTACACAGATAGACATATCGGTATGTGATGATAGCAGGAATTATCCTGAAAACGACTTAAAAGAATGATATAGTTTCATTGGGATTTGCTTGTGTTTTTTTATTTCAGATCCATTCTAACTCATGCTGTGCACTGTTCACCACCATTATGGCGTACGCTGTAACTGTGATATCCAAGATAAAGTAGGCTTGCTCGTGGGGAATTATGATAGCTGAAACAAAGCTGTTATCATGAACAGGATTCTTTACATCCTAAACCTCCCAGTCGGCCGAACGCAACAAACATGCTTCGTCTACTAATTGCATGCACAAAAGCATCATCATATACATTTCCAACACACCGCACTTCGTTCGTCGTGAACGATGAGACTCACCCCTCGTCATACGAGTGGGTGCAGACCTCGTGACTTAGAGATCGACTAGGTTGTAGTGAAGCAAGCTCTCGTACCACTTACTGCAACCTCTTCCCCTCTCCCACCAGGCCCGATGGAAAGACAACGTAAAGATGACGGGGGCTGACTATGGCGCAGTGTCCGAAAAACCTATGCGACACGCCTGCGCTTTCCGCGAAAAACCTGGTCCACGCAACATAAACAGGCCTTCTTCCCTGCCAGCACCAGCCCCGCCTAGCCCCGCCTGGCCCCCTCAAGAATGGCGGGGCTAGAGGGGTCCTTGAGGGGGCTAGGCGGGGCTGTGGAGGGGGCTGTGACGGGGCATGCAACTCGATAGCCTCGCCTGGCCCCGCCAGCGAAAAAAATGCGCAGGGGACGCCACATCGTCGCCCACTTTTGGCACCACTTTATAATATCGTCCTGTATGCCGATTCGCCTGAGTCGCAGTGCCTCATTGTTCCCACATGTTACACGTCGGAACCCACCCTGCGTACGTAGAGTACTACGGTATTACATAGTACTCACAGTGACCCCGCCGTACACGTGCCCACTAATCGGCAGCCAATATTAAATACACGCGACGCAAATTCATGTGCATGAGTTATTTATTGTATAAACGAAAAAGGAATTGGAAACTATGTACAATCATAATAAATGTCAGTGCCAGTATATACATGGACTTCAACATACGTTATGTCATTCAGTTGTGCGTTCCAGAAGTCCCCGCTTCGACGGCTGGTTCCTATAGTTGAAGAAAAACAATTCTTTGGAAAACACATGGTCGATGGAAGGGAAGTAATTCTTTAAAATTTAAATGACAATTTTTACACTACTTAAGTTCACTGCAGCAGTATGAATATTTAACCTAAAATATGTAAATTTCATTGATGGTAATTACCGTGTTTTCAGACAGAGACAGTGTGGGACAACGTGTATCATCGTTAGTCCCTCCAATTGCCTCCCGGCGTTTAGCCCGGCCGCCATACTGGTCCCTCGATCCATGAAACCAATCAAAGACAGTCTTGCGAACCATTTCGTGGGCGCAATTACCAAAGGTAGGGTTGAAACGAATGGCATCTGAAGTGTTAACAAATGAGGAAAACTTACCATACAGGAGTGCATATAAAGGACTAACAACAAAGGATTGTTTTCCCACGGAGCCACTCCAACAGTAGTCACGGCAAAGGGGTGGTCCTAGCATTTACTGAGGAACTCCTTGTTGTTACGTCTGCCATCTGAAACAAGTTGTTTCATTTATAACTCATGGATAGAAAATAAGGCTGCGTATTTACATACCACTTCTTCCCGAAAATCGGCATCACGATTTAGCTTCCCTTCGAAGTCTTCGTAGGCGTCCTTCGTGCATAGCGGCAAGGGCAGTGCGGGAGGCCTTTGACCGACAAGGACGGTGGAGGCATGTATTTGTCCAAGTTTTTCAACCATGAGGGCGCAATGTTGTCGAAATTCCTCATGATGGACCGTCTGGTTATGGACTAATTTGTCTAAGTTTTTACTAAACAAATCTAATCCAACGGCATAGAACACGTCCTTACCGCACAGATTTCAATTCCCTTTGTATTGATTTTAATATTTCACTCTGCTCCACAGAAGCATCCTCTTCCGTTTGCAGTCTGAAATGGATAATAAATATAACCTGAGGAAAATTTTGGCAATGTACAAGGGTTTGTTCTTCAAACCAACCAAGTATTTTGCAAAACGCGTACTTCGTCCATTTAAGGGGCTGAATATCCGAGCCATGGTTCTTTGGCTTAGGAAAGTTTTTGTTAAACATGACTTGCTGATGTTGCGACACTTTTGATTTCCCTGAGCTGCGGCTTAGGTTGCCGGGATCATGGGACATGGCATCGTCTACTCATCATTCTTTGTTCCCCCAGGACCATCATTTGGCCTAGATGAAGTCTCATCAACGGTTATAATTCCGTTTGTACTCTGCACCTACGCAGTGTATTACTTTTTCAGGGCCAGATCGGTAACCGACAAATTCGTGCATCCAACCGCTTAGCCTCCTAGAGTCTACGCACAGCCGTCACCACTATCAAATTTCTTCACAAAAAATATGCACTGTCTCAGGGATGTGTATGCCCCCTTTATTTTGGGCTTCACTGGTCGCGTGCAAACAGTGTTAGGCTCATTGATTAAAAAGGCCTCCAAGCTATCCTATGAAAAGTAAGTTGTGATTTTGCAATGCGAATACTTTTTAAGGGAGATGATTACTTTCTCTGATGGTGGAGAGATGAAGCTGTCCTGGTATGCTGAGGGCCCTGTGGCTGCTTCTTGTCCAATTGCAATAGTTTTGCCTGGCTTGACGGGATGTGCGTGTACCGACTACATCACAACGATCGTAAAAAGTATCGCTCAACAGGGATACCGGTGCGTTGGTGTACGGCAGTGTTATATTTAATTGCATGCCTTTTGTCCTGACACCACAGTATCAATAACGACATGTGCAGTGTTTTTACAAAATCTCTTCTGCTTTACGGTCGTGCCTTTTCAACCCAAAAGACGAAGTAGTGGTCGCCTACACTATTTTTCTGCTCGAATTCTACCCGTGGATAATTAGCGGTCTTCATAATCCATCTCGGTCCTTCTTGTGCATATCCCTGGCGTATTAATCACTTGAAAGTAAAAGGCATGTTGGATGTGTGCATCCACTCGGCGCTGCGATATAGACGAGGAATATCTCTGGTAGGAGTAACATTGATTACTAATGCAAGCTAGTGGTTGCCCTGTGTCACCTCTGTTAGCTATTTACTTGCCCCTTCTGTTATTCTTTTGTTTTCTTCTAGCGTGGCCGGTGTTACATTGGTTTTCCGTCTGTTTACTTTCATGCTGGTGTGCTATCCACTAGTTGTTTACGTCTGGGTGCACTGCGTTTTTGTATATCTAGAAACGCCTCACTAAGTCAAATATATTGATGCCACAGTTATAATCCATATTCCAATAACCAGCTCAGTCGTTTGTCGGCTTACTATTTACTGCCCTGATAGCATTCTACTCGCCCAGGGCTAGCCCGGCTGCAGGCTAGTGTTGCGATTGACTGGATTTTTTCAGCAATCCTAGCGGACACTGTCCACACGGGGATAGCAGGTTGGCGCGCCTTCTCGGGCGAGCTGAGGGCGTTGCAGCTCGAGGCGATTTAAGTCACCAGACGGGGACCTAAATTCCGAACCAAGTGCGTGCTTGCGCGCGCGCAAGGGGACCCCCTGGCGTGACGTGGTAAATGCACTCGGGTGAGCATCAGGGAGGGTGTGTAGCAGAAAAGCTACTTTTCTCGCACAGATCGAGCACTCTCAGCCAGTCAGGTCACTAGCTCTGCACCAGCTCGCAAGTCAAACAGACTGGCAAATGTCTAGCCCTGGGCGACTAAATGCTATCAGAGTGGTTTCGTTTAGGCACTAGACGACGTATTGGCTTCTGCACTTCGCAGTTGCGCCTTACCAGTCGAGACCAACGCTGCCTTATGTATGCAACTGTCATTGTCAGGGTCAGACGCACGCTCCTGATATGCAGTTGTTCACTAAGTTTGTACTTTATTTTGCAGTAGCTACCCCCGTGTTGTCTACCGTTGGCCGTACGAGATGAAGTTAACAAACACTCATGTGTTCTTTCATTCCTCCTCCACTTCATCTCTGTAATTGTTCGGAGTTTTATTGTTTTTTTTTTACTACTAGGTGTGTCGTACTGAACAATCGTGGCACTTGCAGACAAAAACTGAAGGTGAATCTTCTGTTTTTTTCATTTCTTGTCTCTACGCTATTCCATAGTTTTTGCTCTTAGTGGGAAGTCTTAATAGTTATACTGTCGAATTCGTCATCAGCCACGCTGGCTGAGTAGTCATAATAATGATGGTGCCTGCAGTGGCGTATTTCGACTCCAGTACATCCCCTGGCGCGAGTGTGAAAGTGAGCGCGGTGGTTTTTATGTCTTGCGAGTTGCCACAGCTGAATTTATAATCAGAGAACGCACCCCTCCAGATTAATATTTCTCATCCTGAAGGGGTGACCGATATCAAACATCTCAGGGCGAAGTTGCTGTTAAAAAAAAACAGAGTAGTTGCGCTATCCCTGCACTATCTCGATAGTGCCATTTGGGGTTTTTCAAGTCATAGAAAGAAATATAAGCAACTCTTATCCGTTTCCTGACCTGCACCATTAGAAGAATGTTGTGATACTTCTGTAATGACAACAGTACGCAGTTTTGGTTTTTCAAGTTCAAGTAGTTGTAAGGTAAGGCCAAACGTGTCCTTTCTGTAAAACAGACAATCTTCTGAATCTCAGAAAACGCGTCTGTTGGTATTGGCTATACAGAAGCTTTGAAGACATTTGAACTCCGGTTGATTCAGGCTTTTACTTAACATCACTCCATTGGCAGACGTCTCCCTCTCCTAGTTTTGTTGTTTTTGCAATCTGACTGCACAACTTTATGCTAGCAGCGATGACAATCAGTAGTTAGTAATAGGTCGTTTATTTAATTCCCGTTAAACTCGAGCAGACCCCAAGAACATACTCCGCTTCGGACACGGAGGACGTCTCGGAGGCCATCTCGATCGTGCACAAACGCTATCCAGAAGCACCACTTACCGCAGTCGGTATCTCCATGGGCGCGTAAGTCTACCGTCTATCAGTGTGTAATTGGTTAGCTGTGCAATCATTCAGTTTCAGAGTAGTGAAGGCAGTGACCGTGCAGTTAGTTTGCCAGAGACGAAGTTACAACATTCCCAACTAAGCAATGCAAGTATTACAAGCGTCTAACCTGCTCAGACAGAGTTTTGATGATGATGACAATTTCTGTACGCATGTGATGGATACGGCGGCGACCTCTGTGCCTATGTTTTCATGCAGCCGTCTTCAATTCTGTCAGCTTGCCCCGTCAGATATTTGACCGTGTTGACATGCAGCAGTTAGTCCTAGGTTGAGTTCTGGCACATGTTATCACAACTGCCTAGCGGTTTCCCGTCGGATAACTCCTAGTCGTGTCTGATTTCATATATTTTTCGCACCACCAGGAACGAGACCGCGTTACTGTTCAGTGTTTTACGTAGGCCTTCCCAGACTACGTAGACGAACGTTTGACAAACAAGAGCGTCTAAGCAGACAACTGTGTACTTTTTGTAAGTAACAGCGACAGATCATATATGGTGAGTCACGATTGTTCATTGTAACAGACCGAAAACCCCAGACACCAAGGCCTGTTATTCTTAACTCTTCAGTGGAACCGTACCGGTTCGTTATTCCAAAACTCACTTGAACGCAGAAGCCACACCTGACAAACGGTCGTTTTTCAACTTACTTCCGTCTAAGGAATTATTCATCTGCTGTCTATTGATGTTGCCATCTTAGTACGCACAAGATTTTGTCGTTATTTCTTTAGACATCAGGATTCTTACCCGCTCGTCTTCCAATTTCGTCTGTTTCTCGTCAAGGCTTATCCTCTTTAACTACGTCTCCTCTTTCGGCGAGGATGCTCCATCAGAGCCCAACTATGTGCGGATGAATGGGACTGCGTGCAACTCAAACAAGAAGTGTCCTCTGCGTGCTGGACTCTGCATTTCAATGCCTTGGAAACTGAATGAGTCTTGCGCGAGTCTGGAGAAGTTCCTCAACTGGCTGCTCTTCAACCTCCCACTAACCAATAATCTTTGTGCAATTGTCAACACCAATGCTGAGGTGTTATCTGACAAATTTGATGTCCCCCGCATCCTGCGCGTAAGTCCATACTCCCCCTCCCCCTCTTACCGTTCAACCAACACCCGGGGTCGACATTTTGACCTATATCCATACATATATATTTCAAAGAAAAAATGAGTCATTTGGAAAATTGAATAAACTTTATTTTGTACATTTTCGACGCTGGCTCTCAGGTCGTCGTTAAGCGTGCAGAAAGCATGAATTTCTAGACACAGTACGAGGACTCACTATTGACACGGATGGGATAATGGTATCGTTCGATGCTGCCTCTCAACTAACGTCCACACCGCTAGGCAGTGCACAGAAGAACTACAACTCTGCGACATCGATGTTTCTGCAGCGGACTTGCTCACATACGGAGTGCTGTTAACACCCTAACTAATCGAGCAAACTCACCCTGTTCTGAGAACGAAGGGTACAAAATACAAGTCAATTATTTGTTTGACCTACCTTCCCCAAACGGCTACTCTAGATTTTGTACGCCGATGTATGAGGCAGCAGGAATCAAAGGAAAGAGATAAGGAACTTGATTGTTCCGATGAAACACACAAACCACAAAATTGGCGAACGCTTCCTAGCATAAAAAATGCCTTAACTCGTTAAAAGACACCTGGCGAAGCACCGAATACAAGTGGCGCACAAACAGACGAATAGGCTACGCAATCAGCTCGTACACCCCAAGGATAGGGTTGGCTAGTTGGATAAGAAAGAAGTAGTCTATAAAATTCCATGTGGCACTTTTAATGCGGTATATTGTGGTCAAACTGGGAAACCCGCCTCCACATGCCTACATGAACACCAGTTGGCAGTAAAGAGGTGAGTTCGCTTATCCCAAGTCGCCATGCATACTCTAGAAGCAGCGCACAAATTTGCTCGGGATAAAACACGCATTGTCGATTCCTGACCATATAAGAAAGGCCGAGAATCCCTAAAGGCCATTCACTCTGATGATTCAGGCATCAATCGGCACATCGATCTGGACGCCATGCACAGAAATCTCAAAGAAAAATAGAAAAGGTGGTAGCTTATCAAAGCGTGATGTCGGCTCACAGCATTGACCCATCCTCAGCACTGACAACGCAATATTGATTTTTCCGGCATATTTAAATTTTAGCTGTTTTTCACACTTACTACACGTCTGAAGACGAGCTATGGAAGCAGCGTCAAATATTTACGAAATAAAGTTCATTTTCCCATATGACTCACTCCGTCGACCCTAAAACCTCCTCCGAGTACTTGTTCGGGCGCGAACAACCCGGACATTGTGTTACCTGGTGGCGGCCTATAGACGACGGGTAAAAGCAGATCCTTGCAAACAGTTGGAACACATGGTTAGCCCAGCCTTGCCATGGTAGTTTCCAACTCCATGATTTTCACTTCCCCTTTCGTTTTACTCGTTAACGCCATTTTTCCTCGATTCTTCCCATACGGAAGTCATCTTTAACTAAAACCATGACCTTCTTGCTTCAGCATTGATTTTCTGCACGAATTCAAATCTTTTGTCTTCTTCCCACTCGTTATCTATGTTATGAAGCAACAGGATGCAGCTGACGAGCCTTCGCTAAATTTTTTGGTACCATTAACCCCTGCCCTGCTTGCCTGCTCTAGCTATGCTTTTTGTCTCGAGAAGTCTCCTAGTTTTCAAGGTCGCAGTCGTCATCTTGACTTTTGTGTGATCAGAACTCTCTCCTCAGCCAATAATATCGTTTAAGCACACTTTAAGCATGCCTTTCCCTCCCAACTGCCGTACTTGGACGTTAACTTGGATATTTGTCGTTTCATCCAGAGCCGATCCATCCGTGAGTTCGACGAAAACTTCACCACCAGCATGTTTGGGTTCTCCTCCGTGGAAGAATACTACAATCAGGCCTCCCCGGCTCTCAAACTGGACTCCATAAAGGTGCCCCTTCTCTGTTTTGTAGCCGCTGACGACCCCTTCGTTCCACTAAGTAGTAAGTTCATTTTACAAATAAATATTCTTACGCTCCCTAAGGCACGCACCCCTGCTGCAGTTTACAGCCTGCGTCAAAGTCCTGCTGTCGGCCAAGAGCCCTCGACAGGTCACAACACACCCACGTCTGTTCCACGACTTGCTTGCTAACTTGTTTATAGTTAAGCAGTCTTTCCTTGCATCTACCACATTCTCCCATGCCAATCCCACCTTGCCCCAATGCCAAACGAGGTTTAGAAGTCCGCAGGTGGGCTCGGGAACAGTGGCTGGGGAGGCTAAACAACCTGTTTGCGCGTGCTCCTGTACTAGGCCATCATAAGGGCCACTCGAACCTCACATCAGTGGGAGTACCATAAGGACCGCATTAAAAAGGAGGTATCGCAGCCCGACTCACAGGCAGTCCTCCGACCACTCCAAAGTACTCACCACGAGGACCGAGATATCCCATCAGTTGACAGTTCTCCAAACCACAACTGATGGCCCGGTGTGATAGATTCGAGCTGATTCGCTGATTTGCTGATTTGCCGTGGGGATGGATTTCCTGTGTCGGCCTTTCTCCCCACATACACCTGTCGACTGTCCGGATTGGGTGCAGTGGTTGATAGTTATTAGACGGTCCATCCCTGCCTGCCGCACACGATACGGTCCCGCAACATTTAAGAGGCTTTCATGGGGTTGACTCAGGCCTCACATCAACGAGAACGCCACGGGAGCCACATTGAGGGTAGCGGCCAAAGCCTGATCCTCGGTCCTGAGAAAGACCTTATTAGTACTACGTCAGTTGGCAACCTTCAGGTCCAGGACTTCTATTGCGTCGCGATAAATTCAAGCACACCTAATTTATTCTAGGGAGGAATACGATGACTTTTCATGCATACGCAAGCTGCCTATCCAGGTCAGTCTGGCTGGTGGTGAGACTGGACGCACCGATGGCCAAATTCAAACAGCCTGTCAATGCGTGTCACACACGACCTGGTTGCTGCTCCACACGTGCCAGGCCACATCAAATGACGCGTTTCTCACGTGAAATGTGTGCGTTTTCACATGCGACATTATCAGATCTCCCCGCATACGTCTTGTATGAATGTTGTGCTTGGTGCCCCTCTTACTTTTCACGTGTGCGCGTGTGTTTTCATTGAAGGCCAAAAAGAGGTCCATTGTTGTTGCAAGTGCCGAATTCGTGGCGAGCTGATAACGCTTCCCTCCCCCCGAGATGTCGTAGTCTGTACCTTCGGCACAATCGCTAAGAGTGTGGGCATTTCGCAGTATAATTTGTCCGTCTAGGTCTGTCAATTGGGAGAAGGAGGCGTAGACTCAAACGATGGTAGCAAATCTGTGTCAATTGAGAGGCACAAAAAGGTCTATAGTTGACTTCTTGTGGCAGATGATACAGCCGTCTCACCACGACATTCAGGCAACGAAGACGACTGTCGTCTCATTGCTCTGCCTTTGGAGTCCGTTGTAGAATAAAGCCTCCCGGCCCCCTCTTACTCCAGTTATCCTTGTTCGAAGAAGCGCGTCTCACCGAGAGTCGTTATGTGCGCTTTGTAGCATGAAAGTCGGCTAGATCGTAGTTGGTAGCCAGGGCCCGTATTGCAGGTGGCGGAGGGGTTTGTTTTGTGGGGCTGCATAATTATGTCTGATCCATTTGGCTTCCTTAATACGTTTGAGGTTAAGATTAGGGTACCGGTTAATGGGTTCCGATTTTACGGTTAGGGTTATGCCTTTAGGCATGGACTTTCGGGTTACGGTTAGGGTTTGAGCGTACGATTGGGTTTCAGTATTACGGTTAGGTTTTCCAGTTACGGCTATGTCTAAGGGCTACGGTTACGTTCACGATTTCGATTAAGGCTAGGGTTAAGATTGCCGTTAGAGTTAACGGTTAATGTTTAAGTTCGAGATTAGGGTTAGGGTTAAGTTTAGGATTAGGGTTAAGGTCAGCGTCCGCTTCTCTATTCCTGGCTACCAACTGCGATCTTACCTGAAAGTCAATAGGTGACCGTTGGATCGTCTAACAGTGACCGAACATTCCAGACTGCCGGAGTCCATAGTCATATTAGACTTTCGCAGCCTCCACCCCACTCCCCCTTACTACCTAGACCCTGTGTCATGATAGAGTTAAGAAGATCGGAGGCGAGAAAGAGTGCACATGGCTGGCATGACGGAGACCCGCACCTAAGTGTGTCACTACAGATCCCCATTCAGTGGGAGTGCCACTGATGCCAAATTAAGGGGCCATTGCAGCCTGGCTCAGTCCACTGGTGGACCAATCCACACAAATCCACATTAGTTTGACCGCGGGGTCCGAGTTATCTCCTCAGTTGGTAACCTTCCGATCCACGGCTTTTAGCCACTTGTGTGTACGCGTGCGTTCCTGTTGAGAGGCAGAAGTAGATCCATTGTTGTTGGAGCAGCCGCATTCATCGCGAGCTGATAACCCCTCCGAGATGTCGTGGTTTGTACCAACGATGTCACTGAAGTCACCAAAGGAATGCAGTTTGTCCGCCTTTGACAAAGTCACTAGGGGCGTGTGCATTTCTCTGTGGAATTTGTCCTCCACTTCGTTTTGGTTTGTCAATTGGGTAGAGGAGGCGTAGACCCAAACTATGTTGACGAATCTGTTTCCATAAGGAGGCAAAAGCAGGTCCATACAATGGTAGTTGAAGCAGGCAGGACAGACATCTTAAGACTTCATTCAGACAGTGAAGACGACTGTCGTCTCATTGCTCTGCCTTTGGAGTCCATTGTAGAATAAAGCCTGTCCGGCGCCCTCCAGTCATCTTTGCTCGGAGAAGCGGGTCTCACTGAGAGCCGCGATGTGCGTGGGTAGTGTGGACAGTAAAGACGGATGCAACGAGTGTATGCTGGGGCTTTCGGTACCGGTGTGCCGGTCACTGCGATGGATTCACAAGCGATCGGTCAGACCAATGTGTAAGGTGCGATGTGCGTTGGCAATAAGGACAAATGGGGATCGAGTCCACATTGCTGGCAGTGGGGGCGGAGGTAGCGAGAGTGTTCGAGGTGTTCTCTCCGGAGGCGGGGATGGGAAAGAAGTTATAGTCGTCGCGGGTGTTGTGGCAGGAATGATGGAGGTGGCGGTAATCGACGGTTACGGGCCCCAGGAGTGTGATTACCGGTGTTGGTGGTGGTCACTGTCGTGGGATTGGTACAGGAGTGACGATGGCGGTGTTCATGGAGGCAGCGGATGGGGTCGTTGGACTGTTGCTGCACTGGGTCCAGAGATGTCCGACGAAGCCGGTCCACGCGCAGAATGTTCGCTGTCAGCATGGACATGTTAGAAGGGATTGGGTGTTGGCGTTGCGGATCGGAGGCGCTTGAACCTGTGAATTGCTCTTTTGGCCTAAGCAGCGCGATCCGTTTGGCTTTGTAGATTGTCACTCCAGTCTTCACTTCCCTTTTACAGGCCGGTCGATCCTGGACGAGGTCCTTCGTGTTGATTTGTAGGTATTTCAAAGAATTCTTTACGACGTCCTTGTAGTGTCGGGTTGGTTCTCGTCGCCGAGCACCCGTAGCGACGTCTTCGTAGAAGAGTTGTCTGGATAGACTTTCTGTCCGCCCTCGCGAGGTGTCCGCTCTATCGCAGTTGCAGTTGCCTCATCATGGCGTGGATGTTAAGGATTCCGGTGGATTCCAAGAATTCTCTCTCGGGGATCCTGTCCTGCCACCCCGGCTTTAGAATTCTCCGAAGACATCTGAGGTGGAAATGATTGAGTTTCCTCACTTGATTGGTGTAGGCTGTCCAAGTCTTCCCCCTCTACACAGCAGTATCCGCAAGATGACAGCTTTTGTTCATCCGGAGTTTGGTGTTGAGATGGGGACCGTGGCGATTCCACACTGAGTCTTGTAGTCGGCCGAAGGTTTGGCTGCCTTTGGAGATTAGATGAGCCGCTTCCTCGTCGATTTGGATGCCGCTTGCGAATGTGCTGCTCAAATAGGCGAAATTGTCCATGTGCGCCCTTGGTACTGGCTCGAAGGGCGTTGTATTCAGCGTTGAGTGTAAAGCTGATGCCTGACCACTGCCTCATCCGTGTTGATGGGCAGCCAGAAGTCGGCGCAAAAAGGCCCATGCACTTTTGCATATCAGATTCTGCCGCGGTATTGTGCGCGCAGTCGTCCGCGAAGAGCAGGCCGTGGATAGACACACTGGGGCTTGTATGCACTGATGTGGAGATACACACACGCCAGGAGCCCCAATCTGGTTTAGCCACTTGGCCAAATACGATTACCGCCGGGTACTGAAGTCACAGTCGAAATACTTGGGTGCCGACGTGGGACGCAGTAGGAGTATTCACCGGGTTCATTAACGTGTGTTGGGGATCGCCAATATACTGCGATCATAGGCATGTCCGGTGTGACTGGCCAAGATGGTGTCGCGTCTGTTACTTCTCCATACGTGGCAGCTTGCGGCAATTCACAGCGAGGCACCTTTGTCAGTGTCTGGCCGCACAGTGGTGACGTAGGTCATCACGGACGGCAAACAATACAGCTCCTGAAGCCTGCATACATTCACAAAGGCGTGTTTTTTGACTCGGAAGTTGACCCAAGTGCCTCCATCAAAACGCTCGGTTTAAACAATCGACCTTCGGTTAAGTGATAATTTTTTTAGAACAAAAGCGAAATGATAAAGGTTGAAAACTTTCGCGTCAAATGACTGTAAATGACTGTCTTCTCACTCCACTTCGAGTTGGGGTTGCACACAGGCCCGAAGCAACCATTAGGCGCCAAGTCATGAGGCGAAAAGACCCGCTGCCACGGCAGGAAACGTCTGGAGTCGTTTACCGGATTTGGTGTAGTTGCGGACAAAGTAAATATGTCGGAGAAACTGGGAGATTACTCCGCACGCGAATGGCCGAGCACGCAGCAGCAGTGAGGCGGGGAGACGCTAACTCTCAGGTGGCGGCACACTCGACGGGACCCGGCCATATTTTCAAATTTCAAGAGGCCAAAATCCTTGCAAGGGGGGACAGCCGCTTGAGCCGCGAGCTGTTCGAGTCATGGTTCTCAGGCCCGCAATCCATCAACAAGCACAATGACCTCCCGGCACCATATTCCGTATTGCGATTTTCCCTGGGTAGTGGAATCAGTCACGTGGGGAGGGCGCGGGCGACCAATTATCACAGTGACAGTGAGCCAATTTTCCGAGCAATCGTCGCACCAGCATCCAGCACGGATGACGAAATCACGGCCATTAACGACTCGGACTGGCAAGCCATCCCCGCATCAATCACGACCCCAGCGGTGATTGCGAGAGCTGTTAATTACAGCGCGCATATGGTCCCACGGCGGCCACGTGCTATAAATACTGCACTCCTTGTGCCACCATCACATTTATCTGCGAATATATCTGATGCTGGGTCCGAGTGAGAATCCGAAACGCCAGGCCAGTAACTTTCTTGTTCCAGTGGTCGCATCTTTTTCTTCTGAACTGCTACCTGGAACTCGCCTGTCCGCTTCTCACGAAAACTGTGTAAACTAGTTAATATTAGCCAAGCAATGTTTAAGATAAATCCCTCAGTGGTCCTCAGACCTTACGTTCTTCATGTCGTGGCCGGTCAACTACTGGACGAGTAATGAAGTTTTGGGTAGTGACTTACAACACCTTTTTTCGCGTTATTTCTGGCATGCTTGGTGAGGTTGAGGATGCTTTTGTTTGATTTCTTGGGTAGGGATGCCGAGAGGCCGGTTGGTGACGAAGAGATCGGAACATACTTGTCAAAGGCGGTCGTCAACATGTCATCTTCTGCGTATTAGTGGATTTTTTTCCGCTGAAACCATTGCATGCTTTCCGTTGGTTCGCATAACGTCCGTTGAATATCAACAAATGCCTTGCTATCTTCAGTCGATTACTTATGTGATGACTTCTGTAGTTTATGGTTAATGTATATTTCAAAAGAGGACAGTATTTGAAAGCGCCTACCTCTCTAGTGAATCCTTAGTCGCTCCTTTTCCTACAGATAACGGTTAAGTCCTAGTTTTAGACTTGCCAAAACACGAACCCCTGTCTCCGAAGAAAGTGGACGTCTGCAGGGGAGACATGAGGTGAATATGCCTTTCCTCAGGCCGAACCCAATCGATAATTAGCTATCATTAACTACTGCTTTATGGGGGTATTTTCTCTTCCTAGGGTGTTTCCTGGGTGAATATACACGACCAACGCGACTCTCGTTTTGTGTCCATGTCACGTATTATTAGAGGCTAAACCGTATGAATCGGGTTTTATCATATACCCGAAAGTGTTGATGAACACGCGGTGGCAGACCTTTTCGTAGTTACCTATAGCATGTTTTCGCGTGCCTGGGAATTATGGGTGTACCAAAACAAATCCTTGCCTGTCGACATTATTACTACTTTTTAGGTCATAAAAATTACACAGATTTGCCAGGTGAAATCTCTAAGGAAGAAAAAACTTCTGTCTTTCTACAAATAACGTAGTTACTAACATCCTATCTCATCGGATTTACACGGACCCAAAAGTCGCTTGCCAGGCTGGCAAAGGTTCGTTTGTTGGAGTTTTTCAATTTAGATTACTTCCCTCTAGTTGATGAGCACGTTGAGAAGCGTACGTGCAGTCTATGGTGATTATTAGTATATGAAATTGCCCGAATATAAAGTAACGCTAGTTTCTGCTCATAATGAACAGTCTTCCTTTGATTAATTAACTTTTAACCATATTTCGCATGCGAAAAGGACTTATCGAGTAACGCATGAAGATAACAGATAAAAGGGGTCGTGTGCAACAACCGGACGTATGGATCTCGATCATCCTGCTTTATGAGCAGGGTTAGAAATTCAGTGCTCTAACCACTGACCCACGGGCTCGTTGTCCCGTCGGCTGCGATCGGGTATGTTAATGCTAGCCGACCTTGCGGCGCTCACTCCCCCTGCTGTGCCCTGGGGCTCAATCTCGAGCCCTGCCAGCAGCCGCACAGCGGCGCGTAATGCAGACGGAGTGACATGACCGACAAAGGCAAGGGAATTGGACATGACTGGCTGATGACGGCCAATAAGCCAGAAATGGCCATTTCCGGCGCTAGGAAGGATGAAAAAAGTGGAAAATAAAAGGAATGGGAGCCTTAATAGCCGTCATCCTCCCCTTCGTTTGAGTGCACTGCATATAGTCGAAAGTTGTTCCGATCTCTTGGCATCTCTCCTCATGGTTTTCTTTTTTGACGCTCGCAGTTAAGGCTCTATTATTTCCTGTCTGACCCGTGACTGCTGGTGAGCCCTGTCTGCCAACGTCACTGTCTTCGGTCAAGAGTTGTGTAATAACCCTGTTTTTTGACAACACGGAGTTCAAATACGGTAGGAGAATGATTTGTTTCCATCCTCCTGATCCTTTACCTCTACTTTTTTGCTATCCCCTCAGGCATTCCACTGAAGGCCATCTCACAGAGCAGTCACGTAATGCTTGTCCTCACCAGACACGGTGGCCACATCGGCTTCCTGGATGATCTCCGACCCACGGGTCCGACGCTGATGGATCGTGTGGCTGCCCAGTTCTGTTCGGCGGTCTTTGAGAACCTCGATGAACTCTCAGCCTCCTTGCCGGACACGGACTAGCCGGTGACACCCCCCCTCTCCCCCCAGAACTACGCTTTCTCTGTCGGCTACTGTCATGACCTCTCCGGCGTCGTCACGGTCACCACTGTCCTGATCTTCGCTTTCGCCAAATAGAGCTAACCACGCTGTTCTCAAATGCTCTCATAATTCCAAATCACGAGCTTTGGCTAATTCGCTTATCAACCATATTTTATTTGCAACCGCTGAAATAAAGAAAACACCTCAGTCCTCCTCTTGAACTTTCATGTTGGTTGAGGTGTCACGAAAGTTCTCACATAAATGGTAAACCAAAAGTTCACAAGGTAATTGCCAATTGCGTAGTTGGACGCCTTGCGCAGTTACGGTCGGGCTGGGTGTGGCTTCTTGGTGCTGCCTTATGGCATTCGGGCCTATGCGAGATCCGAGAATCTCTTCTAGAGGGCTGTTTCGTAGGGAATTGGGCCGGCGTTTGTGTCGGCAACGTGTCAGCCTCTCCCCGCATGTCCAACGGCTTTGGTTTCGTCCCGCCGTCGCACATAGGAATTCCGGCAAGGCCCGGTTACGCTGTCGGGGTCCCAAGTGTAAGCGCAATGTGGGCTTTGAAAGTAAGATAAACCGAAGGGGGATGCTCCGACGGGCATTCAAAGCCAACGGCTTCCCGCGAAATTTCGTCAACCGGTGCATACGCAAAAGGGACGAAAGGCCTAACCGCACGGACACCAAATCTTTGCCGGCGCTTCGGTATGTCAAGAACGTTTCGGAAGCTGTCGGTCGCCTTCTCTCACCGCTTGGGGTTGGAGTTGCACACAGACCGGAGGAAACAATCAGGCGTCTAGTAATGAAACCGAAAGACCCGCTGCCACGGCTAGAAAAGTATGAAGTCGTTTATCGGATCTGGTGCAGTTGCGGACAAAGCAACTACTTCGGAGAAACCGGAAGACATCTCCGAACGTGAATGGCCGAGCACGCTGCAGCGGTACGGAAAACTGACGCCAGCTCTCAAGTTGCGGCTCATTCGACGAGATCCGGCCACACATTCAAATTCGACGAGGCCAAAATTCTCGCTAGAGGTGACAACCGCGTGAGCCGGGAGCTACTTGAATCATGGTTTACTGGCCCCCCAGTCCATTAACAAGTGTAGTGAACTTCCCCTTCCGTACTCGGTGCTGAGACTTCGCCTAGGCGGAGTAATTAGCCAAGCGGGGAGCTCACAGGTGTACACTTTTCCCAATGTCAGGGTCGGTGAGTCAGATGGTCGAGCAATCATCACACCAACATCCAACGCACGTGATGAAATTGCAGCAATTAACGACGCGAATGTCGGCCATCACGCCACGTGCGACGATCTCTGGTGAAGGGGGAGCCGTGAATGTTCATAGGTATGCGGGAGCATGGCGACTGCATCCTATAAATACTGCAGCCCCTTGTGCATGAACAACCCGTATCTACTTTTGTCTCTAATGATGGGTTCGAGCAGGAACCCGAAACGTCAGGCTAATAAAGCTCTTGTCCCAGCGATCGTGTCTCCTACTTCAATGCTGAAATCGTTCGTGTGAAATTAGCCAGAGCTAAAACGGAAAAGGACAGCCTGTTGGATGACAAATCTGCGGCCAGATTAAAGGTAAGTTGGGACCCCCGCAAAAGACCTCACTGACAGGAGGTGCGGGGTAGCATTACACCAACCGTAACCTCAAGTGTAAAATTAATCCTTAGGCATGTATGAGCCTGCCATTCCATTGGCGGCGGTCAAACTGTCAACCTTGCGTGGCTGTTTAGCTGACCGGTTTTTGCATCTTTAAGCGCGTTATTCCAATGATGTTCACGAGCACAACAAAGGGATCGCGGCTCCAACGCACCTCAATTGTCGCAGGAGCTAATGCCTTACCTGCGGACAATTCGGATGTCGTGTCTCGAGTCGAAGCGCGAGGTCTTGTATTTAGCGGCCTGGACCGTTATTGTCCTGGTTGGCCTCAAAACTGTTACTTACTGCTCATCTGTGCCTTGCAGCACGTTCTGTTGGTCGCCTTACCTACACGCAGTATGAACTGGAATCCTTCCCGAGCTCTGGCAGGCGTCATCTGAACACATCCCGAGGTGGACATCCCAACTCAGGTTGGGGTTAGGAGCTGCCGCTGTTTCGTTCTGTTGTCGCAATGTGCCGTTCTCACATCAAATCACCGCCTGCACATGACCAGACGGATTTTTTTCGGGAAATCATCCCGTCTTCAACGGCCCGCGCCTTTATTGATGCTTCTCCTACGGAGGTGTCTGAATGTCCGGATTTGTCTCGCTCACAAACCTTTATTACCTGGCATTCGGCATCCTGTAGGAAAGTCGTTCTTGCCACAGCCGGCCCTTCGTGGTGGCGCTACTTGATAGGCTTCCACCTGCTCCTTCCAACATTCATCGAAGATGCGGCAGGGTGCGCAAGTTCTGAAGTCAGCCTCTTCCTTGTCCATTCGAAGGGAGATGTAGCATTTGGTTTCTAAAGCCCCTTAAGCGATGAAACAGTTCATATTTGTCTGCAATGCATCTTGATGCAAGGTATCCTATAACAGCAGGGCTTCTTGCTTTAGGGGTTTTCCGTGGGCGATGTTGGAAAGTTCACTTGGAACAGTCATCGGAGGCATCTATTCAGACGCCGCTTACAGAAGTCAGTTTCTCCGGTTAGGTCACCATTGACCTACTCTAGTCCTATCCCCTTTTATGTTTCCTAAACTCCAAACGCCCTGGTTTTAACACGATTCGGGTGTCGAGGATGTGATACGTACAATGGCTCATTATCATGTCGGAGATTGCGCTCAAGTAGCTGGTAGTAAGGGCTGGTCAGCGCAGACTGCCTAATTGAAATCCGTGTGATCAACCCGTCTGCAGGCGTTCCGAGGTCTCGTCTGGTCTGCAGATTCGGAGTTGCATAGCCTAGCTTGGATCGCAGAACTGCAATTGTTGATCAACCCTTACGGGTGTAGCCATACTGGTGGTACGCAAAAACCGCCACTCACACTTGTCACCCTGCAACGGCGTCTATGCCTGTCGTGGCGGAATTCCAGGGATGAACGGCGTAGACAGGTGTTGCAAGCCTGTGTCGCCGTTTTTTTTATCCATGTGCGTCAGCGCTTCCACACGTTCAGCGCTTTACCTATGCTCGTCAAGGTCAGTCATATCGAGCCTTTGCGGCGTTCGCGAATTGACCAATTAATTTGGCCCTGGGGCGCGTCTGTATCTCAGCCGACTATGACGGCTCATGTAGGGTCGGTAACGGATCCTGCACTTGTCGTCGACAGTTCTCTCAGCTCTGTCATCTTGATCCTTGAAATAGAAACAGGTTATAGTCATAGATTGGGTGAGAGTTGCGCATTTCATCGAGCATGTTGGTAAACACAAATTATTTCGTTCCGCTGTGCGACCAGTCAGTTTACCGTCCATATGCGTTCGTCACACCTCACAAGTATCAGTCTTCGAAACGCAAATTGGGCTCGCATGTTCCGTATTCAGCTTGTCGCGTTTTTCTCCAGAGAATCCGTCTTTCACTGGAAATGGCGCAGCGGCGGGAAGATCACTCAATCAGCCTGCATCATGACTTTCTTCCCACATCAAATAGAGCATGCCGGAATCCTTGTTGATACAGTACAGTGTGTTAGCACTAATGCGCCTTACGTTTGTCTGCGCAACTAAAATGGTTTATAATTCCTGATTATTGAAAAATTATACAATTCAGAGTGGCCGCATGAACTGCTACCAAGTTGACATCATCCTAACTAAAGTCCATGACATGGCAGTCAACTGATCGTTGTCCGCATTTCGCGTTTAAGGCTGCGAGGAACGTTTCATTTAAGGGTGGGTGAGTGTACACTTCTTTCCGTCTCTGTAACAGATTTACTACCTTTAAAATCAAACACTATTCCTAATGCAACTCCTCTGAAACTTCGGAAGGAATTTAGCGGTTTTCGTAGGTTACAGACAGTCTGAATTAGAATCCGCGTCTTACTTCCATTTCCCTTATACTTGCCTGAGTTGTTTACGTAGAGGGTCATGATCCGACTGCCTGGATCTGTGAGTAAATCACCGCAGCGCCATCTATGGTTGACGTTACACTACAATGGCATTTCGCCAAATCACGAGTAGGATCACGCGAGCAGCTGATTGCGAGCGCTGGTAGGGGGATGACTGGCGTAGACCAGAGGCAAGTGAAGGCCGCAGTACTGGCTGAGCGTTATGAGCGAACCACCAACAAGGAAACACACATAGTCGATGGAAGTGGGTACCTGCCGATAAGCGTGGGCGGGGAGAGTTTAAGCGATCCAGATGTTTCACCGGGCCTGTGACAGATGACCTTTGGAGAGTCTGGGGCTTGCAGTTAAAATGCTTGATCAGTGGTCAAGGTGCCCGGGTCTTCTAGACCTATGGCTGGTTAATAACGACAATCAGACAGGAACCGACAACTTCGATTGTATTTGTCATTTTTGGCAGCATTTATCGATTTCCGATTTCAAGTTTTCGAAAGTGAAGGATGCGAAAATTCTGCAAATGCTCCCATGAAAGACCTCAGGAGATGGCCTGACTAACATACATTAGTTTATAATAAATTCCCGCTTGGACGCTGCAGTTATTTGGAGTATTCAAGTTTTCGCAGATAACTGGGTGAATATGGGTCCGGTAACCAGATATCTTCAGTGCAGAAATGTGGAGAGAAGAATATCTATGTAAGCGTGGCTTGGAGATTACTGTCTGCCCCTGGACCCCCCCCCTTCCGCATGCGACAGTCAGTCTAAATGACTTCGGGCCATGACTACTGCGGGGTCTGCAGCCAATGCACCCTTTCAAGTCATTTTTTCTGAGTTGTCGGCAGTTTTGTCGGAATGATATAGTCGACAAGACAAAGGTTCCCAAATCATAAGTCGGGGGAAACGGATTGGGTTGGACAACTTTTATTACTTAGGAAGTGCGTACACAAAGGCTCCGCAACCAGTCGCCGCGAGCAGTCTCTCCAAGTAAGTTGTCTTGTGTGTGTCCGCCGTTGA